ATTACTGAACAAGAAAATCACATGATTGTTTTTTGCCTAGAAGATAATGATAATATAGAACGGATAAACGACCAAGTATGAAAATGATCGTCGTGAGGAAAAATGCTAATGTTGTTTTGTCTGTAATTGCACATGTGAGAATGACTCACCACATGCTAGTGCTGCTATATCACATGTGCATGTAAAAAAATGCTTAATTGGTGCAAATCCGGGAATATAAGCATAGGAGATGGATTGATACAAATGTAAATGTTGATCGTCTTCAAACGTTTCTTAGCAATGTGTTGATATTGATAGATGCCAATTTACCACCTATGAATGTTCATCTACCTGTTACCAATGCTCAAATACCAGCTGATATTGTTCATCCACCACTTCTGAATGTTCATTTACTAGTTGTTATTGCTAATCCACCCACATGATATTCTTGAGGTTTCACTTGTCAACAGGGGCGGACCCACATTATAGACGGTGGTGGCACTTGCCCCCAGTAACGTATAAATTAAAAAAAACTTTAGTAGTGAACAATAGTGTCGTTATGGCAAAGCGGTTATTAAAAGGTTGAGATTGCTCGTTTGATTCTCTTTAGCTACATTTTGCACCCACTAAATTATTATGCTGGATCCGCCCCTGCTTGTCAATACTATTAATGATAGTGTACAACATGTGCATGTTATAACAAAAAAGTTGTGGTGGCAAATAAAAGAAAAAAGTGATAGGAGATGGATAGAAGAAAATCCTCATACAGAACATATTCTTTATTTTGATCAGCATTTTCAGAATGCTATGCCTCAGTATGTAAAGGTTACGCTTGTATAGTGCCATCAAAATATCTTTATTTAGCAATAAAACAAGAAAATTCACGAAAAATGTTTCCCAGCTCGATCTCTTCGAATTTCAGTCTTTCCACCGGCGCCAATGAATTGCTCAAAAACCTTTCCCATATCGGATTGCTCTGAAGCCTCTCTTTGGACGGACATCAAGTCTCTCTTCTCCATCAATCTAATTTAAATAAAACGATTCTTTCACTTTATATCATATTTTATTAAATAAAAGACAAAACAAAACCTAACCAAACAAAGCATCATTCAAAGTTAAAATTCTACATTAATTTATACATATATAACAACCATACAAAAATAACCTTAGCTAAGAACTATACATGATTAAAAGATTCTCTATTTGTTTATAATTTTTATTTTTGTGCAACATCAATTTGTCGTCATCAAAACCATTTAACCCTAGTCATTCTCCTTGAATTCTATCTTCAACTCAATTTCAATATTCTTTAAGTCTTCCCCCTCGTCATTTATAGAATTATTAGAGCATGTGAAGTTGGATTCTCTTACAATTAACAAAAAATGCTTTATTGTTTCGAATGGGTGGTAATTGGTTTTGTTAGAAAGACTTTAAGAATCCGTTAGGAGCTTCTACATTGGTAGAGACCCAATAGATATCTTAATAATAAAAATAAGAGAAAATAGAAAAAATAAGAGAGAAAACAGGAGAAATAGGAGACATTGGTCCAAAACTACAGAAATAGCCATTTCATACTCGTACAATCTCAAAATTGCCGATTTCCTTTAATCTAGGTAGGTTTTAAAATATATTAAATTAATTAATGAAAAGACCCGACCCGTTTTTTTTAATTCATTAATTAATAGTCTCATACCTACTAATTAACCTAACCGAATTAACCCAACAATAAATCATCATGCACAGCGGAAACATATTAAACCAACATCAATTAATCATAATATTAATTCATCAATCATTCAATAACCACAATTTACACTAGCAACCTAGCATGCCTCTAAACCAGGTTCCAACAACAATTAACATATTCATAAACATAACAACCGAGACCCTATATCATCCTCATCTCCTCGCCATGATTCCACGGATCACACTATACCTGCACCACAAACACAATGAGATGCGTGAGTATTATCACAAATACTCAGTGAGAGCGATCCTCCCATCTACGAGCTATACACACAAGCTATGAGATAACACCCACATATATAACATAAACAAACCATTCATCAAGCTAAACATCCAATAACACTTCCAATTCACCTACAAATCATCACAAACAAGTCACTCAATCCCAATCGCTTAGATAAGCTCATGGTCACGCATTCACCTTAACAAAGTGATTTGAATAACAAAAACAACCAGGAAAGACTCTCCTCGCGACTGCAACAGCCAAACAACGCCCTACAACAAACCACACAAACAAAAATCTCTAAGAACCAAAAGGACAGAAACAGCAGAAAACCTACAGCCGCAGAAACGAAGCCCTAAAACATAAACCAAGCGTTAACTTCTTAATCCCTTCGGTGGAAAGCAAGACTTAGACGTCACGAATCTCCCCATAAAATTTGGTGCCGATCGGAGAAACGATGAAATCACGATCGCACTTACAAACTCCGCTGATCCCAATTCGCAACAGAGAAGAAGCGTCTCACCAAGCTGCATATAACTAACTGAGTATTAATCCGAATTCACTTCTGTTAAAACGAGAATCAACGTACACGCCTTTGGAACAAACCTACCAAAATTCATTACCTTTCGATAAGATTTGATACGTCGGAAGTCTATTCTACCAAGACGTGACGAATCTGCTTCTCTTGCTTTAAACACCAAAGCAAAGCTAACAATCTCCTTCTCACAAGTGAACTTCTCCTTCTCCTTTTCTCAACTCAACTCTCAGAAACAACAGCGACAAAACAAAAGAGAGAAGAAGCGTCCTTTATAAAACTAGGGTTTTTGGTTTAATTATGATTAAACCAGGATTTACCTAAACCAATATTAATTAAACCTCCTTTGATTCAATTAAACAAATCGACCAGTACGTGCGGGTCCATCAAAGGAGGTTTAATTAAATATTGAATATTAGAATTTAATTACTTTAATAAAAATGTATGTAACAATGTAATATTGATGATAAAAATATCCACACAAAAAACGATTATCTGGACAAAAGAATGAACAGCTCTAATAGAAAAAAGCTCAAGGTAAAAAAAGAACAGAAACAAAAATACCCACTATACAAAAGAGAAAAAAAATCTCCTAAAATGACTTTTGTTCTTCTTCTCCAATGTTTAGAGCGACATCTGAAGGTTTGAAGAACATGTACGAATCTCAAATTTTCTCCTTTTTATAGTGAATGTTAAAAAGGGAGGTCTCGAGTATCTGAAACAGAAGTATTCTTATAGACAAAGGAAATCCATATAAGGTTAGTTTGAAATACTTACTATTGTGTGGACATGTTATTTCTATCAACTTAAAAAAAGTCTTGTTTATTTAATAAACCACAACAGATTATTAGAATTTACATTATAAGCACATAATACCAATATTGCAATATAAGAAGGGGGATTTGCACAACTAACTTTTTTATAATACCCTTTTCTATAAGTACCCTCTCTATGTGTCTATTTTCAAAAATAACCTCTTCAATGTACAAAATGACTAAATTACCCTGCTTTATTATAGCCCATGATGAAAAAAAGAATATTTTTTCCAACAAAAAGAATATTCCTTCCAACAAAAAGAATATTCCTTCCAACAAAAAGAATATTCATTCCAAAAAATTTCCCGCCAAAAATTTCCGACAAAATTTTCCCGCCAAATTTTTTCCGCAATTCCTTAAAAAACCTTGTAAATATTTTTAAATCGCTTTAAAATCCTTTAAAATCCTTGTAAATCTTTTTAAAGTAATCCAAAACCTTTCAAAACTTGAGTACCCCTTTTAAAACCATTGCAAATCATTTTATAACATTTATAAACACTTGTAAATCTCTTTAAACCCCTTATAACCGTGATAAATCATTTAATAAAAACTTTTAAAAACTTCTAAAATCCTTTAAAAACCCTTGTAAATCCTTAAAAAACCATTTTAAAGAACTTGTAATACCTTTAAAAACCTTTGTAAACTTCTAAAACCCTTTAAAACCCCTTGTAAATCCTTTAAAACTATTTTTAAATCTTTGTATGCCTTTAAATACACTTGTAAATCCTTTTAAAACACTTGTAAGTCCTTTTAAAAAACCTTTAAAATTCTTTGTAAATTTATAAAATCCTTTTAAAATCCTTGTAAATCCTTTTAAAACTGTTATAAACTTATAAAAACTTTTACAAACCATTGTAAATCATTTAAAAATCATTTAAAAACCTTAGTAAGCTTCTAAAACCCTTTAAAAACCATTACAAATCTTCTAAAATCAATTTAAAAACTCTTGTAAATCCCTTTAAAAACCCTTGTAAACCCCTTAAAAGACCCTTTAAAAAATCTTGTAAACCCTTTAAAAAAATTTAGCGGGAAAATTTTTCTCGGAAAAGTTTTTAGCGGGAAAGTTTTTGGCGAGAAATTTTTGGGGGGGGGGGGGAAATTTTTGGAAAGAATATTCCTTCCTTTGGAAAAGAATATTCTTTCAACTAGGGGTAAAATGGCCATTAAAATTGAAGAGAGGGCAAAAATGAAAATGGCAAAAAAAGAGGGTATTTTTAAAAGAGGATATCATAAGAAGGTTATTGGTATCAATTTCTCAAATAAGAATCTAATATATGTTTAAGTACCTAATCTTGAATTCGACAATCTCAGCATATAGTCGGGATTGATTGCGACTTGAGATGCATTATCTAATTGAGATACTCCTCACATTTTCATAACATTAATAACATGTTAAACGTGTGATCACATAAATATCTTTATGTTGGTAATACATCATATGATTGTTACCAGAATCTATGAAGACCATTAGAAAATATTAAATTATCGAAATTCTCTAAGAATATAATTACCCCTCATCCGTAAGCTCAAAATCATTCTTTTGTTGGCCTGTTGTTGATATTGTTTGTCATCTCATCAACGTTTACCTCTTGACCACCAATATCTACATAAAACAATAATAAGTTATTGTGTAAGTTGTACACATGTGGTGTTTTAAATTTTTTATTTTAATCAGTAAATGTGTTATCTTTTTTTTTTTTTTTTTGTAAACCAACTTTATATTAAAAAGACTCAAACTCCATTTCTGGAGGAGATGAACCCAGAAACAATATTTTTGGGTTGAGATACAATAGCAGAAACATCAACCAAAAGCAGAAAAAGAAGGGATAAAGACGTAAGATAAACGAGCCGCTGGAATATGTAATCCCCAAAGGCACCATCGACCTCACTCGCTCGACCACCAGAACTGAGAAGAAGGATAAGTTCTTTACACTCCGAAGAACATGCCAACCTTGAAACCAAAGCTAAAGCCGCGATAAACGCCACTTCTACAGCAAGTGCCTTTGCTCCTAGAACAAAGAACACAACGAGTCTTGAAAATGATTCATGTCGGATCATCAAAGGATCCTCTATGATCCAGTCCAAACCTCGACCAAGAAACGAAGCTTTACTTGAAACGGCGAAGAAACAAGACAAGGTCTCTTGAGGCGGTTCTCTCTTTTGTGATGTTGGCTGGAAAGGCGGGAACTTGCTTACACAGCCGTCTTCTACCTTGAAGACAACTCCTGCACAGAAACCATCAACAACACACAAGTCGCCCAAACTAAAGCTTGGGTCTAGACAATTCAATTCAGTACCAAAACCATGTTTATAACACTCCATAAACGGTCTTCTAGCATAGCTTAGCTCCATAATGAGGTACTTGTAACCGGTGAATCCTCATAATGAGGTACTTTAAAACTAACAGCAAGACTTTATTTCTAAACCAATAAACCAAAGCCACCAGAACCGCAACCATCCAATTTCTTCCCACAGTATATGAACCATTCAACATAGGACATGAACATACCCGAGGTAAAGATACAGGAGGGCTGGTGACTAAGGCTGAGGACGAGTACGCACATATGGTCGCGGAGCTGCACATGAGGCTGGCTGGAGGCTGAAGAGCCAATGAATGAGGTTGTCCGTTGACGAGAGTGTCGGTCTTGAATCTTGAATACGAGTTGCTCCTGACGAAACCGGCCCACAAACTGTCTACAACACTCGGTGCAACAGATGGGGCACACATGATGGCATCATCCGTGTCACGCAGGGACACAAAGGGTTGAATCACGCCCAGCCAATCCAGAGCTAATTCGAAGTAGAATCTGCATATTGCAGTAACAGTTCGCACCAAGGTGATAATAGTCCTACAAAAGAGCACACATATGGATCCAAGAATATCCAAAAGGATCAAAGGAGTAAGTATTGAACCCGAATACCACCAAGCGAGAGCCACACTTTCAACAATCATCCAGTCACTGTCCAAAGAGGAGGAATCAGAGATCATAGAGAAGAAGCGTACCTGGAGGAATGGGCTAAAAGATGGGACTTTAAAATCCAAAAAGAGTGTCTTCTTATTTTGGCCCAATAAGCCTTCAATCCAATTATGGCCCAAAAAGCATTTGAGCCAATTGTGGCCCAACAGTGAAAATGTTGACGGGCCGGCTTCATTTTTAGGGCCCATCAAAGAGAACCTTAGTTTTCTTTTGGTTGACCAAAAGCAGATGGATGTGCGGCGGCCGGTCGGAGATGGTGGCTGGATTTGCAGTGAATAAAATTTCTCCAGTGGAAACAGATTCTGCTCCGCCAAGCTTTGGTGGTGATGAGCGGTGAATACGACGGTCTAGGCCGTAGGGAAGACCGTCACTCTGAAGAAAAACTCGATGTGCGCCATCGACGTCTCTCCTCGGAAAAGCGCTTTTGATGGTTCATGAGGAAGGTCGCCTGCCATCAATGAAACCGAGGTGAAGAATTCTTCAAGAGAGAACATGACTTTGCCTTTAAACTTGTACAAAACAAAGGACTTTAGATCCGCTGTCATAGGGGCTGGGCACTCATAGAGAGTGTTGATAGTCGCTGGAAACCACCTCCTTCCTTTGAAATAGAAGCAGCTCAAAAATGGAGAATTCATGGTTCGATGAGGTTGAAAAAATTTAAAAAAGTGGGGGAAAAAAGCATAAAGGAAGATCTAAAGGATTTAGAGTTGAAGCACGGTAGAGCAACGATATGGATATCTCGACGCCGGCGAGCCGAGGCTACACCGACGCAGGAGAGGTGGAAAGGTGAAGGTGCCTCGATGTTCGTGTCTGGGAGGTTTTTTGCTTTCACTCGAAAGTAATTCTCTGAGTATAATGTGTTATCTTTTATATATATATAAACTTACCAATTAAAAATGGTTTGGATTGGGATTCCCAGGAAAGACCTAATCGAATCAGAAGAGAGTCATGTAAGGAACATCATACAGAGAATCCATTGTATTCACGATGGTTTGAGTATTGAAACTCATATTGTATCGATCATGGGTCAGTTTGAACTGAAGACACTGCAAGATTTGTTTTTACTCGGAAGTGTTCATTTTTTGAGGATGGAGGTGCTTTTCATTACGATAGTTATAGGTAATAAGTATATTAGGGTTTCAATTGATTGGAGTGTTGATAGGATTGTGGAGCAAGCTTATTATCTTGGATACGGTTAACATAAATGTATGTATACCAATGAATCGGTTATTAATCAAAAAATTTACTATCAAGCTCCACAATTAAAACCTTCCAAAAAGAAATTTTAATCAGAATACAATTATATTTGGTTATTACACTCAAAAATAAAATTAACCAAGACCAAATTGAACAAAACCAAAATTAATTCCAAAATTAAAAAAAAAACAGATTAAACTGATTTGAAACCAAATAACTGAAATTGCAGGGCAATATATGCTCTAAATACCTATTATTTGGATATAAGTCAAATCAAATCTGCAATAGTTTAAATGAAATTGTTTTATTTTGTTTTTTCATAAATCATAAAAGTAAATTATATATCTAAAAGGTTCCATTATTCACGACTTTAAATTATATATTGATATTATTTTCATTTATATAAGGTAAAATTAAATTTTGAGACTAATTCATTATTATTTGAGTTAATACAATTTGAGTTAATACACTTTAAAATACCCAGCCCATTTTTTGTTTAAACATGCAACCCGAATTAATCCAACTAAACCAGCTAAATCATTTTAAAGCATTTAAACTAGCAAAACCAGACTAAATCAGTTATGACAAGATAAACCGATATATCAAATTTATCCAACCCAAACACAATAACCAGCAACAATCAGCGGAAGACTTAACCAACAATTCAAATAATCCAATTGCATTAAACCATCATTTCAACCATAACCAAACAAGTCATCATTTAGAGTTGATGTAACATCCTAACATGTTTCTAATTCCAGTCTAAAATCCTAGCAATGCAATAACATAAAAACTCCACCAACCAACGAGTCCTAGATCATTATGTTCTTCACGCCTTGATTCCACGGTCACACTTTTCCTTTACCTGCATCACAGAAAGAGATGCATAAGTATTTCTAGTGAGGCACTCATCCAAACTATTGAGCTATACACACAAGCAACATAATTCACATTCAAGCAATAACCAATAATACCAAAATATTCACAAAATAACCATAAAAAAAAATCCGAAATGACGAGTAGTGGCGATTGACACCCACCACTGGTGTCGATCGACACTCGCGGCTATCCTCGCGATACAGAAGATTGGTGTCGATCGACACTCGCCACTAGTGTTGATCGACACCAAAACCCTAACATTACTCAAGTCGCTTCTCATCGACGTATCTCCTCTTCTCTACACTCTAGGGCCGATTAGAACCTCCACAAGGCTCGTCCAGATGCACCACAACACAGAAACAAAGCATACAAATTAAACAATGAAAATCACTCAACAATCAAGGAAATCACCAAAAACATGAATCAAACTGCTTAGATAGGCTTTGGTCTGCACTCACCTTTGAAAATAGAATGAACAGCAACAAAACCGTGACTAACAAGGACGAAAACAAGCTCTCCTAACACCACACACCACAGATCTACTCTCTTTTGGGCTCGAACCATCAAGAACAAGCCTCAAACTCTCCAGAAAGTCACTCAAAGGCACCCCAAAGATCAGTCTCTAACTCTCTGCTTTTCTCTCTATTTCACAAAGCGACAAATGACTGAAGAATGAGAAAAACGGCGCCCCCTTAACCTTTATGTCGACCTAGATTTTCCTCAAACCAATCCTTAATTGAACCGACAATTGAAAACTTAAACCGTTAAACAAAAAATTAAAATGATTACTTAAAATTGATTACTTAAAAAAATCTTTGATCTAAAAAAATTTAATATAATAATTTGATATTAGTAATTTAAATATTATATTTATTTTAATCCCTACAAATATAGACAAAGAGAATTGATATGTTGATATGTTATTGTGTTGTTTAAATTTATTTTTATGAGTTTATGCTATTGATTTTATGCTTAATTTTGAGGATATAATTATCAATATTAGTAAAAAAAATGATCAATATTATTTACTGTTATATTATCCTTTAGTATTAATTAAAGCGGAAATATCATTTCATGCTAAGACAAATTCTTCAACATATTTACCAAAAATGTCAAAGGAATAAAGAATAATACAAAAATGTAAATAAAAAGTAGATTAGTCATTTATTCTACTTAAATCGGATAAACGCATGGGTTAGAGTTCAATATGGATACTTAATCAAGTCTCAAGAAGTTTTAAAAAAAAAAATCAGGTCTCAAGAATTAATATAGGTAGTTGATTAAATAATTTCCAAAGATAATGGTATTTATTATTAGGGTAAAGTTAAAAAATATACATAGAGAAGATGATTAACTTGTCGATAGACATGATCAATACGGACTATCTTGTCCATCGAAATAAAGTTATAGCACAAACATGCTAAGAAGAAGAGCTATGAGACCATGGTTTGCAGAGTGGTTGAAAAAGAATTGATTTTGACACCTATGTCTCCAAAGTGCACTTATTGTTTTGGTCAAAGGTCATGAGAGAACTCCACACTTAAGCGTGCTTATGCTGAATCAGTCTAGGGAAAGGTGACCTTCCGAGAAGTGGTTGTCGGAACTATGTGAATGTGGCCACAAGACATGAAAAGATCATGTGGTGATTTGTAGGGTCGGTAAAAAGTCTTTAAAGTCACCCGGACGTAGCAAACCGATTGTTGGATATGGATGGGCTCATGGGACTAGTGAGAGGATATGAGGCCCATTAAGAGAAGTGGGCCCATGGGCTGAGAGTGAACATGGGGTCTACTAGGAGAGTTGACGGTCGGGGCGTTACAACAACATATGAGAATCACTTATCCTTGTCTTCAAAAACCCAACAACGATCTCTCAATCCACTTCGAGCTCCAACCGTGTAATACCTCTCTCCAACGCAATATAGAGCATGTAATTAAACTCCACACAACTCCGCTAATGGCGATGAACAAATGCCTATATTCAACGTAAATCCCCATATCCATTTTCCATCCACATCTCGTAAAAATTTACCAGTAGTGGCCAACCCCGAGTTTCCACGTGACGCTCCGTCTGTGTGCAGATTTCATCCCACTCTTGAAGGAATCAAACTCTATCTCGACATTTACCTAAACCACCAAAAATATTACCACAACACCACTTCCATCCCCACCATGCAACCATCATAAATTGAGTGGCCCATTGTAACCTCCGTGTCCTTTTTTGGGACACTGTTGATCGATACCATGGAAAGATCATGTGGTGATTTGTAGGGTCAATAAGTCTTTAAGTCTCCTGAAAGTAGCAAACCAACATGGCTCACGGACCTAGTGAGAGAATGTGAGGCCCATTAGAGAAGTGGGTCCATGAGCTGAGAGTGAATAGGGGGCCCACTTAGAGAGGTGACGGTCAGTTGGGTAAATCTATCTTTACATCTCTCTCCTACTCGATAAATTTTATTATTCTATGTCAAATATTATATTTAGTAGCTTCTAGTTTCATTTTCACATGTATTGTTTTTTCCCGAACTTATGCCAAGAATAAGAGGATTTCAAACGGTAGAAAAGGTGGAAAGAAACGTGAGGTGGCTAAGGAATTTGCTATGTAGAGCTTCTTTTCTCTCTCTCTTGGACACTTGATATTTGGGTCCGATGGATTTCTACTCGTCTTCCTTGGTCTGAACAAAGGGGAACTTGGGATCTTTAATGTGTCTGGATTTTACTCATTTGAACACTAATTTTAGGCATCGTTTTTTTATTTTAGGTTTCATTACTTGATCATTTATGCATATTCTCTTTGTTTTGCTTCACTTGTAGAGTATAGGCCTTGCATTGCATGCATTGTAGTTTCCATGTCCAAACATGTATTTATCAAGGGGAAAATGAGCCAAATAGAGCCAATCGATTGAGTGATTATCTTGCATCTGATTGAGCTAATGAATCCATGCTCAGGAATCGAGTGAAGACTCGAGTGGATCAGAAAGCAGCTCAACCAAGCATCCGATCAAGGCACTCGACTAGTCCGATCGAGCGCGCAACCAAACTGACCGATCATGCAGGATTTAAGCCGCCTTTCTATTTTGTATTTTTGTGTTTTAGGGCTTCCTAAGCTTTGTATAAATAGACCTTTTGGCTAATGAAAGAAGAATGTAGTTTTCCTCTAAGTTTTATCTTTTAAGCTTTAGCTTTCAAGAAACTTGTAAACTCCATATCTTTTGATATATTAGGAATTTTTCGTTGGGTCTTTGTTAAATCTTGGTTATCTCTCTTAGGTCTGTCTAATTATGCAATTTTAAATGTTTTATGGGTTTTTGTTCTTGAGCATGTTTCTTAGATCTGAGTAGTGAACTTAGGATCTAAGGATGCGATAGATGTAGGTGGCTAACTTAGATGATCTAGACTACTGTAGAGTAGATTTGCCTTAATTTCCCTTTTGGATTAGTGTCTATAATGCTAATCCCTCACTGATCATTTGGAGATTAGATCCGAGACTTTCACGCCCAAAAGGTGCTCGATGAAATGTATGATCCTCTAATGTCAGAGATTTATGTGTCTAGGCCCAAGATATTAGGTTGACTAGAATGTATTTTGACAATAATGAAATGTTGTTTAATGCATGCTTATTTCATGTTTCATCAACGACAGTTGAGATTAGGAAGCAATTTAGGCTTGATAGTCTCTGCCAAGAGATTGGATTGGCTAGCTTATGAGTTCATTGACTAGGGAATAGCTTAATTGTATGTTATTGAGTAGCCTAGTGACCTGAGTTTCTCCACTGAAATCAATTAACCCATCATTGGAACATATTGTTAATTGATTGCTTTACCTTGCTTAGTTTCTATTTTTGTAGCTCTTGCATGTTTAACTTTTATTCATGTAAATTATGTTTTCTTCATGCTTGCTTTAGTTTCATTTGCTTCATGTTTAGTTGTTATGATTCACAGATACAAGATTAAGTCCTTTTCAGCTCCATTACTAATTTGTTCTTCTTCTGCTAGTCTTTTATGCACCGTAGTTACCACTCGATCAATCACTCAACCGGTGCACTCGATTTCTCCATCGATTGATCTGATCGAGCACCTAGTCAATTCGGTGCATGCACACCATATCAAAAGGCAATCAAAACCTGCTTTGGTACTTGGACAACATTCAACGTTTGCCTCGAGACTTGCGTAGACAAAGAGCTCATTCGAGAATAGATACCAGACGTTGAGATGGATGCTTAACAACATAATGAGAATCAAGTCCCAAGACGCCCTACTCGCATTGGTGCTGGATATGCCTCGAACAACCATACACAGAGATCAGGGATCGTGCCTCCCAATGTTCATAATAATAACTTTGAGATCAAGAACAATTTAATCTCCATGGTTCAAGGGAAAAGTTCTATGGCTTGCCATTAGGAAACCCCTTGGATCATCTTAGTGAGTTTGATAGGTTGTGTGGTTTGACTAAGATCAATGGTGTGAGTGAATATGGGTTCACACTTAGCTTATTCCCATTTTCTCTTGGGGATAAAGCTCATCAGTGGGAGAAGAGCTTGGCTGCCGGTTCCATCACGACTTGGGAAGAGTGCAAGAAAGCATTTCTGGCCAAATTCTTCTCCAACTCACGAACTGATCCTCTCCGTAATGAAATATCCAGTTTTGCCCAGAAGAATAACAAGACGTTTTGTGAAGCTTGGGAGCGTTTCAAGGGATATCAGTCCCAATGCCCACATCATGGGTTTAGTAATGAATCCTTACTCAACACGCTTTACCGAGGACTCCTACCCAATTTTAGACTCTTGCTTGAAACCGAAAGAAATGGTAATTCCCTCAACAAAGATGCTATACGAGGGCTGGGAACTCGAGGAAAATCTCTCCATCTATGACGGGAATTATGCTGAGGATTATGATCGCACAAACTGAGGAAGCTTGGATCAAGATGACAAGTACAAGCGAGATCTCAAATCTCTAACTGAGAAGTTGGATAAGATCCTCATGACCCAAAAACAGGTTGTCCACTTCATTTCAGAGGTAGAATAGTTCCAACAACGAGATGGGGATTATGATAATTCAATGGAGGTTAGCTACATCCAGAACCAAGGTGGCTTCCAAAAGAGATTTACAAACTACAAGATGAACCCGAATCTGTCCTATAGAAGCACCACTTTTGCCAATCCTCAAGACCAAGGGGGGCATATTGAATCAGTGATTTGGGATGATTTTTATTTTTTTAAACAATATCTTCTAATTGGACTGGGGATTCTATAAAATTTATTAAAATTCTGTCTTACTGCGTCTACTATTTGCTAAAATTATTCCAAATTTAACGTTATTTAATTAATCATTTAATAAAATCTTTTCAAATATCATGTTATTGGAAAACTGAGATTTCATAATACAATTATTCTAAAAACGATTTCAGATGATTTCAAAAGCAAATTATAACTAACATTGGCATGTTGAAAATTACACCTCCTATAGTGATATTTGGAAGAATTATAAAAGTGATTAATTTTAATTATTGTTTCATTGATAATTAAAAACTGTTTCAGATTTATCCTATTCTTTTATTTTAATCAAAATTTGCGTATAAATACATGTATGTGTCAAACTCTAGAAAACCTACGTCAAACTCTAGAAACCTATGCTTGACAAGAGGATTGGAGGGCTCTAGTGCATCTTATCAATAGCTTTTTCAAGCGGATAAAAGGTAAGAGTCGTTGTTTTTTTTATTAACTTATTTCTTTTGTTTGTTTCTCCATAAAGATCAAGGTGTTTGTGATCGAAGTTGTTTTGGGTTTTAATTATATCGTTTAGTTTGTTGTTCTTGTTTTTTGTTTGAGGTTCCATATGGTTTTTTACTCTATTTAACTGTATGGCTAGCTACCACTTATATAATAATGGGGGATCCACATGAAGAAAAATGTAAGGGTTAATATATATCTACCATGGTCTGGCCAAGAAAGAAAAATACTGGTGCGTTTATTGGTGGATGCTGTGAATCAGAATTGGTGTGATGCTAGTGGTTCGTTCAATAAACTTACAGTGGAGCAACAAATACTACCAACTCTTAACGCATAGTGTGGGACTACCAAAACATGTAGTAACTATAAAAACAAGAGTTTTGTAGATCTTCTAAGTTATAGTTTGAGATTTGGTTGGGATCCAGAGACAAAAAAGTTTACTGCTAGACAAGTAGTATGGGATGATTATTTTAAGGTAAATAATTTGTTAAAATACAAGATACAAGTTTAATTTACTAATTTCTAATGCATATGTTTTAGTTTTATATGATACGCTATTTCTTTATCACAATAGGGACATTCAAAAAGTAAACATTTACGTGACGATTCATTTGAAGACTTTGAGGATCTAGACAAGATCTTTGGAAATAAGATTGCAACTGGAAAGAATGTGATTGGGTTAGGTGATACCACAGAGGCCCGAACCTATGCACCAAGAGATAGGAATGGGAAACTCAAGATAACTATATTCATCAAATGGCGGATGAGAATGAGTATGATGGAGTAGAAGATTTACCTGAACAAGTTGTTTCATCTTCATTAGGCAGGAGGAAATCAAACGAAAACCTTCCTATAAGAAAGAAAACTAGGACTGAGGGATACAATGTGGACATGATTACTGATGAGATAAGTTCATGGACAGGAATGAGCAACCAACTATTTAGCATGATACAACAAAGATGGCAGAAAGAAGCCTAAGAGAAGCAAGCTGAGGAAAAGAATAATAATGTATATGATTCTATTAAGGAAATTCCAGGTTTAGAGGAAAATGAATGTTTTGATGCGATGAACTTAATTCACCAGTGGGGTATGAATGCCGGATTTCTGAGTATGACTATAGAGGAACGTTTTGTGAGTATGACTATAGAGGAACATTTTGTATGAGTGTGCGCAAACCTTGAGTTGATGGAGGAAGAGTTGTTACGTTTCGTTAGATTTTTTTTTTCCAGCTTATTGTTTTTGTTACAGTGTTAATTGTCTATGCGTTTTCCATGGTTTTTTATTTTGAGTTTGATATTTTTTTTGTATTTTCTTCCAATTAATAAAATGCATCGTAGCTGTTTTTCATTTTGATGAAGTTTTATTTGCCTAAACAAGCTTTTGCTCTTGCTTCATCTTTTTGTTACATATGTGGCTTGTGTTGAATGTGTAGACTCAAGTGAAGACTCAGTCCCAAAGGTATTTAACATTTTGGTAAATGTAGGAGTCAAACACTCATAAACATAAAACTCTTTGTCTTTTGTTTACGGGGATTACGTAAGTTATACTTGTTTATGTAGAAATTTTTTTTGTTCATAATTTCCATTTTCATATTCTTTAATGATGGACCATGTCGTTTGTGATAGGGAAGAACTACAAGCAAGGAAAAATAGAAAAAGAACAAGGACATTTCAATCAGACGTGGATATAGTGCTTTTGATGTCAACTATCAATATGAGGATTTACTTTCTAGCACAACATTGTTTTTAACAAACTTAACGTCCCATGAAAAAACCAACTACAACATTGGGAAGTGAATATATACAAAGTGTTCTACGTGGGGTAAGGAGCATTTTCTGAATTTATACCGTATGTATCCAGAAGCTTTTTGGAATTATGCAATTGTATCCGACTGGAAACATCTTTAAGAGATACAAGATGGGTTTCGGTTGAGGAAATGCTGGCCACATTTTTACTCATTGTTGGCCAGAGCTCAAAATATATTGTTCCTCAAGATGTCTTTGAGAGATCAAGTTATACAATAAGTGTGAGTTTTATAAATTATTAAGGGCATTAAACACCATGGCCCCAAGTTTGATGGCCAAACCAGGAAACGCAGTGCCATCAAAAATAAGAGAAAGCACAAGGTTTTATCCTTATTTCAAGGTACGTAGGAGGTTATTTTTATTGGTTTGTTTTGTAAAATTCTAACACAATTATATTTTTTTTTGGATTGTGTTGGCGCTATTGACAGAACACATATTCCTACTATGATTGTTGGAAATGAAACTGCTAGCTATCAGAATCGAAAAGAAATTTTATCCCAAAATGTGTTAGATGCATGCAACTTTGATTTAGAATTTATATATGTCCTTAGTGGATGGGAAGGTTCAGCTCACGATGCAAAAGTGTTAAATGATGCTTTGACAAGAATTATCAATAGATTTGAAGTTGCAGACGGTACATGCATTACACTATACCAATAAATATTACGTTTATATTTTATTTTCAGTTTTGATCGTATGTTATAAATATTTCAGGAAAGTTTTATCTAGTCGATTGTGGATTTACAAACCGACGTAATTTTCTTGCTCCATTTCGAAGTACTCGTTATCATTTCAAAGAATTTACAGGTGGAGACAGTGATCCCAAAAAAAATGAAGAATTATTCGACCACCGTCATGCTTCGTTTAGAAATGTTATCGAAAAAATCATCGTTATTTTCAAGTCAAGATTTATGATCTTCAAATCTGCTCCTTCTTTTCCATATAAGACACAAACAGAATTAGTGCTTGCATGGGCCGCATTGCATAATTATCTTCTTCGCCAGTGTCGTTTTGATGAGTTTCCTCCAGAGGGATCTTGTGATGAACAAGGTGTTGTCCAAACAAATAGTGGTGGTGATCAATTCCTTGGTACACAAAAAAAACAAAGAGAATATGCTAACGAGTGGAGAACAACAATTGCTACATCTATGTGGAATGATGCTATCATTAGTGGATTTCAACGGTCATATATGCAAGAACTAAGCTATCTTTTTTTCTATCTCTCAATCTCCTTAATATTTATACGTTCATATTATGAAAAGCAGAACCTGTGATGTGTTCGTTGGCTTAAATGTTTTAGATGATTTATGCTCGTGGCAAGAGACTTGGACAATATACACTCAATTCTCATAATAAGGCCAAGTGAATCGGAAGTTAGAGGTTTCATTTTTTTCATTTTTTCTGTCTCGTTGGAACAAGTTATGTTTGGAATTTATAATAAAGAGACTTTGAGATTATTATTTATATAAGACAAACTGAAATTGGTTGTTAGAGGTTCAATTATTCTATTGATTTTTCTGTGAGTTTGGCTAAATTGGGTAGAACTGAAAAGTATATGATTCACTAGTATGGGTGGAAGATGATTACGAACTAATTTATTTCAATCATCTTTCTTTTGTTTTTAGCTTTCTCAAATGCCTTGAAATTCTACTAATCACTACTAAGAATTTGTAACAAAAGGTTGGCAAAATTTGTTGAAATCATTTTCTAAATCTTAAAATTTCCTTAAATCTCTCTAAATTCCCTAAAATTTAAAAATATAAAAATCATACCAAATCACCAATACAATATACCCCCACCCCCAAGTGTATCCTCCACAACAGCAGCAAAAAAAAACCTTCATCCCCTACAACCAACAATAAGGGTTTTTTCCTAAGTGTAACTCCTCGACCGCCATCTTTTCAGTGGACCCCACATTCACCATCAGCCCATGGGTCTCATGTCCTCTCACTAGGTTTATGAACCCATAAATACTTGTTTACCTACCTTGCAAATCACCACATGATCTTTCTCTGTGTTTTGACCTCACTCACACAGTTCCGACAATCACTTCTTGGAAGGTCACCCATCCTTTTCAATTTGGTATCATAGCCGAACCCAGACAAGTGTACTGGAGTGGTGGGCTCACACTGTCAAGGGGTGATGATCGTTGTGCGCAACGAGGACATTGTGGTATGTTAGTGGGGGGGGGGGATTGTGAGACCCCAGTTTGCGGAGAGGTTTAAATGAATTGATTTGGCCACCTTTGTCACCAAAGTGCACTTATCTTTTCGGTCAAAGGTCCTGAGAGAACTCCACAATTAAGTATGCTTATGCTGGAGTGGTTCAAGGATGGGTGACCTTCCAAAAAGTGGTTGTCAGAATTGTGTGAGTGAGCGAAAACACATAGAAAGATCATGTGGTGATTTGTAGGGTCAGTAAACAAGTCTTTAGGCTTCCAGGACCTAGCAAACTGGTCGTCGATTATGGATGGGCTCCATGCCTAGTGAGAGGACGTGAAGCCCATAAAGAGAAGTGGGCACATGGACTGGTGGTGAACGTGGGGCCCACTGGAGAGGTGACAGTAGGGACGTTACATGAACACCTCGAACGACGATCTCCTCCATAATAAACCTTAAATCACCACCACATCAATACATCACCTCCTACGATGACACAACCAAGGAGCAACGAAAACAAGGCGACACAAACACAAAATCAATTCACACATCAAATAAACACAACTAACACAACCTTAATGCTTAGATAAGCCATGGTCGCACACTCACCTTCATATGGGATTAAAGAAAGAAGGGAATCAACCAAGAACACACAACATCAACCCTCTTATCACCCAAACAGCCAAGAACTCAGTCCTTCCTTGATAGCACACCCAAGAAACAGCCATGGAAACCTCCAAAAACTCTCACAAGCCTCACCTTAGCAGCTTAGAAGCAACTCTCCACTCTCTGCTCTGTCTCTCCACTTTTCACAAAGCGACAAAACTCTACAAGTTTAAGTCGAGTTTTAGCGCTTCTCCTAAACCAACTCCCTTAAACTGGTAATAAAAACCCAAACAGCCCAAACCACCAAAATTAGTGGTGTCGACCGGCACCCTCCCATGGTGTCGCTCGACACCCAACTAATTTGGGACACGTGCGTTGCAGTTATAACATTGAACCAATTATTATATTTTTCTAATCCAATAAAAATAATAATTTATTTAATAGATTTCTCCCATTTCCTCATTAATTCTGCAAGTAATAGTCATTAGTAAGTCTGCTTATAATATGACTCCAACAAAGATGACAAAGCTAAGGAAGCACCGTGAGGAACATCAATGTTATTTGTGAACAAGAAGGATAATTTTTTTGGTCATGTATCGATTACCGGGGACTTAATCGAGTCACAATGAACAACAAGTATCATCTTCCCTGGATTGACTTAGTGATACCAAATCTCCCATATTGAAGTTATTATATGACAATGTTGAAGACATCAACTTTAAGTCTTTTGGGTAGAGGGCGGAAAATAATGTCTCCCATATTTATTAATAACAAAGAAAAACAAAGAGAAATATTATGTGTAATCGCAGTTTCACGAGAATCTTCTGACAAATTTAACTCACCACAACTTGGAATAATATCAAACAAATAGAAACCTAATTGTAAAGAGAATGCATTGTTAAGTAATCTATCCCTAAGACGATTAGTCTCTCTATATACATAGTGAAATCCACACATTATAGAGGTCGATTGGTAAAGACTGTTACTTGTGGCCAGAGCCGTTGAAGAGGCCAAGCAAGCAAAGCACTGGCTTGAGGCCCGTTATATTAAATATGTTTTTCGGCCCTTTTTTCATAAAAATCTCCTTAGCTCAGCGGTTCAATATTGATATATATGCTGAGTTCTCAGGTTCGATTCTCTGGGATTACATATTATGTCAATTTTTTTTTGGGTTGGCTTGTAGCCTTAAGAAGCTCAGGGACGGCTCTGCTTGTGGCTGTAGAGACTTTAACTTTAAAATTTTAGCTGTAGATGCTTTGGCTGTAGAAACTTTTACTGTTAAAATCTGATTGGTAATGAACAACTTTTAAAGTTATGCAAGTTATTTTTATTATTATTATTTTATATTTATAATAAATATAAATTATATTATAAATGAATTTATAAAATTAAAGTATTATTGAAATGAATCTTAAAAGAACAAGAAAAAAATGAGAGTATTTAATTTATAAAAATAAAATATATAAATTATATTTATAAACTTGTGAAAAGGTTTAAAATGTAATGGGGGAAAATGTCATAAAAATAGTCATTTAGTCATTTAGGCTAAACATATAGTTAAGCAGCTCACATATAGTCATTTAGGATAAACATAAGCAGCTCACATATAGTTAACCACATCTTCAAGTTTTTAACAAAAATTAAATGTCATGCTTAAATAAGTGAAGGGGAAAAAAGCTTAAAAATACCCCATCTATTTTTAATTTGGACGTTTAATACCTCGTCTTTTTTAATTGGAATAGAAATACTTCATTTAATTATTATTGGTCTAAAAATACTTTATATTCTAGTTTTTGGTAATTTCCAACCCGTAAGTCAACCTCCGTTAACGGACGTTAAATGTTCATTAACGTGGGTTAAATTGTAAACTCATATATTTAAATAGATCTGTAAAGCTTATCATTCGTATATCTTGATTTGGTCTAGTCTTATAGACCCGAGTTCGAACCTACCCAAATGCAGTTTTTTCCTTTCATTTTTTTTTTTCTTCTTCACAAAAACCCAAGCGCCTCCGCCTCTTCCTCTTCCATTGCTATTTCTTCCTCAGTCGCTAGTCTCCGTGGTGAATCTTTACCTGAGCATCCTCACATATACAACGTCTTTGAGATTTGTGATGCAACAACAATTTCTTAGCTCATTGCGTGTCTTCCTCCTCATGTAGCAATCTGAGAAACAGAGGTGATGATAATGGTGGCGAGTGGCGACAAAGAAGAAGGAGGAGTCAGCGGAGATTGGACCAACCGCGGTGGTTGTGATGAAATTTCAACCGGAGGCGACAAAGGAGTAGAGATTGGAATTGGAGTTTTTTTTCTGATCGGACAATGTAGAAACTGAGAATTATACCCAGAAGTACACAACATTGAAGGATGAATATGTGAAACTAAAAAATGCCATGAATATCACCATATTGATGAACCAAAATCGGATCCAATTATCATCAACGATGAATTTCTCAAGCGATGGATCTGGGTTATCTGCTCTATTTGAGAAAGCAAAAATAAAATTTCTTAAAATACTTCAAAAAAAAAATTGATATATACATTCTGGGAGTTGAACACAAGTTCTCTAGCCTAACCATTTTTAGAATAACCACTAGACCAAATAACACATTAACAAATTCTTTTAAACAAATTGCTAATATCTATTTAAATATGTGAGTTTACAATTTAACACACGTTAATAAATATTTAACGTCCGTTAACGGAAGTTGACTCACGGGTTGGAAATTACCAAAAATTAGAATATAAAGTATTTTTAAACCAATAATAATTAAATGAAGTATTTTTATTCCAATAAAAAAAGACGAGGTATTAAACGTCCAAATAAAAAATAGATGGGGTATTTTTAAGCTTTTTTCCCAGTCAACAAAACTTAGTTATTTTACGGAAAAATCAACAAAACTTTGTGACTAAAATATCTTCTTTAAAGTTCAGAATTAAATCGTCCCAAATTTAAAAGTTCGGGATTTTTATGACATTTTTCCCTTTATCAAATTTGCAATTCCAGCTGTTTACAAAATATTTTTTTTTTGTAATTTCGGGCTTAGCTGGGCCGTGACTGGTGGACGTTGGCCCGATAAGCCTAGTAAAAGCTTCTTTACTTAATAAGCAAGCGACGATACGGTGTCGTTGTGTATCAGCCTAGTTCTCTTGTCCGGCAAGACGGAAGAGTCTACTAGTAAGAAGAAAAGCATAAAAAGAGAAGAAGAAACCGAAGAAGAAGCAAAGAAAGCACTGATAAATATCTGCAACTCAACAAATTCGAAAATTAGCTATGGAAGGTTCTTCATCTTCGTCTTCGTCTTCGTTAGTCTCCAAATCGGACGGTGAATTGGAGGAAATGCTCGATCGGATGCTGACGAGACTCGCTCTCTGCGACGACTCCAAGCTCGAATCCCTAGTCTCTAATCTCCTTCCTCTTACCATATCTTCTCTATCTTCTCAATCTCCCACTGTTCGTAACAAGGCAAGTTATAGATTTTACAATTGAGTTTAGTGTTTGCTGATTTCAAATTGTATGAGAAAGAGTTATAGAAACTGAGAATTTCGTATGTCAGGTTCTTGAGATATTGAGTCATGTTAACAAGAGAGTGAAGCATCAGCTTGAAATTGGTTTGCCTTTGTTGGCTTTGTGGAAATTGTATACTGATCCTGCTGCTGCTCCTATGGTTCGGAACTTTGCTATTGTTTATGTTGAGATGGCTTTTGAACGAGCTCCTGTAAAGGTTTGGTTTATCTTATTAGTTGTTTGGATTTTATTTTGGTTTTTGATATTGTGGAAATTGAGAGGAGTGATTATTGTTTTGTTTTGATAGGAACGGGAGGAAATTGCGCCTAGTACGCTGGAGAATGTTTCAAAGCTTCCTAAGCAGCATCAAGAGATTATTTTGAGAATTGCTATTAAGGTAGTGTCTCATTTCCTCCTCTAGTGTGAAATTGGATATCTATTCATGAACACTATTTACATCTTTCTCTTCTTTGGTTGTTCGAATTGTTATGCATTACTTAGATGAGGAAGACAATATATTTGCTTTAGTTTGTTTTCATGCAGTTATTTGTGTGATCCTTTTGCATTTTTTTCTCTCTATTTCATGGAGTTCTTCCGTTAAGTGCTGCATATAGTGGTAGTCCGATATGTTTTATGTGGGAAACAATATCTGGTGAGCTATACTATTATAAAACACAAGAGAAGACTATTAGCAGCTTAATTAGTGGTTTCACTTGGATATATGACAATTTTAAAATCTATTTTCACTTCATAAAATAATCCTCAAATTCTAATTGGTTTGTTTCCAGGTCATTGGAGAATGTCATGCAAGCAAGATCAGTGATGATATCTCTGCGAAGTATAGATCTTTGATTACTTCTCAGGATAAAGAATTGTTTCTGGATTTTTGCCTTCATATGCTTTTGTATCAACCATCTTCCCAAGGGTATGGAATTCATTTTGAGCACTGTTTGATCGTCTTTTGTTATGATTACATCTAATAAGAGTTGCTCGACCTTCTAATTCAGTGGTGGATCTTCTCCTGGGCTCTCAGTTTTTCAAGTTAATCGTATAATGGGAAAGCAAGTGTTGAAAGGGGACATGCTTACAAGACGAAAGGTCTGTTCTATAGCTGACAAGCTATACGTTGGTCACTTAGAATTACCATTTTCTAATAAACTGACCATTTTCTTAAGCAGTTGGGGATCTTGAATGTCATTGGAACCATGGACCTACCTGGTGAATCTGTATATCCATTGTATATGGCTGCATCAGTAGATAGGTACGCTTTGTGTTTTCTCCACATGACATACTTGTTTCTAGCACAAGTCATAAAATATTCTATGATCACTATCCT